CCGCCCTCGCCAATCCAAGTACCATTTGCGGTTAGGATTTTCGGCATAGGGACGGCCAGCATAACCACAGCCATCAGTTTTGTAGTTTCCCCACAGGCAGTGGTTGCAGGTGATGGCTCCGTCCTTGAACCATCGTTCGAGCATGCGCTCGATCCTGTCGATATACATGTCCTCCTGCTTTCGGGCCTCTTCGGAGTGTGGCGCTTGGCGTTGGCCGTTCTGGCCTCCGCTGTCTCCTTGGCCACGGCGTCCGGAGCCGCTAATTCCGCCGCCTCGCTTTCCGCTGAAGCTGGCGTTCTGGCCTCCGGAGTATCCGCCTCTTTGTACTCCACCGCCATTACCCTGGCTGTAGCCATAGTTACCCTGGTTCTGGGCCTGGCCATAGCCGCCACCACCACCGTTGGGCGGTGTGGACCCACGTTGTGGGGAGCCCAAGTTCAGAGCCGCGATGGCGGCGTATGTTGCTAACTTGGGCCTGGGTTGGCGTTAGCGTCTGGGGAGGATAATAAGCCTGTGTTGGCTGTTGAGGGACAACCTGGGCAGGTGGCGTTGGTGCGGCCACTCGGACAGCTGGATATCCCTGGCCCGCCTTCCCGTCGTATTCGGGTTTTCCTGCCGTGAACTGCCGGATGTAGTCCCGAAATTCTGTCGGGGACTTTGGCAGTCGGATATCCAAGGCACGGCGCAGTTCTGGCTCGGTCATGTTACTCTTCAAGAAATGAAGAGCCATGATGTCATCGAGATTGGCCCGTGCCTGTGGGGTGAGGATTGCGTCATAATATTGTTCAGGAGTTTCGGAACCGTGTCGGTAGAAACGGTTCGTGATGTCATTGAGGGCGTTGGCTCTCTGGTTTTCGTCGTCATACTGAGCGGCAAACTTCTGAAGCCACTCTTCGACTGTATAGCCGTCGCCTTCTCCCGGTTGGCTTGGCCCATGTACCATTCCTTGACCGGTTTAGACAAGGATCCAAAGACTCGGCTCATGAAGTCTAGGTCCGGCTTGTTTAACGATCGCTTACAGATTCTTCTTACCTGTGCAATACAGCCATTCACCATAGTTTTATCGCCGTCAAAGGATGGTATGGCGGTCCGGGCATTGGCTTTTGCATTGGCCTTGGCGTGTGCGTCCAAGACCATCTGCATGGGCGTTAAGTCATGCAGTGGTGGGCTGGCCCTTGGCGACGGCGCAGGCGTTATTTGCTGTACCACCACTTGTGGCGGTGGCTGCAGTGCCTGTGGCACTGGAAGTCCCTGTTGAGGGTTCAGCGGTTGGTTCGGTGGATACTGGATGGCTCCGTTGGACGCCATCCATCCATAAGTTCCGTTGGACAGCTGGACAACAACGGGCGCATTCTGGCCCTGATTTGGCTGGGCTGCCGGTCCAGTTGGCGTCGCCGCGGTTGGCGGTGCGCCTGATGGATTGGGCACATTCTGGCCCTGGGGCACATTCTGGCCCGGTTGTGGTTGGACTTGGCCCGTTGGGGCTGTCGCTGAGATGGGAGGGCCAAATAGGCTTGGTTGGCCTACAAGTGGCTGTTGCACCGTTGGTGTGCCAGTCTGGCCTCCCATCTGTACCTGTGTGGCTGATGGCCCGAACATTGGACTTGGCGGATTGGTCCGGTTTGGATCCATGCCGCTGGTGTGGGCCTTGCCTAAAGCCGGGTGTGGACTCAGGTGGAAGTTCATGTTCGGGAACAGTGATGGGTACAATGGACTTTGGCCGAAGTGACCTTGGCTTGGCGTCTGATTCTGAGATGCCGGCTGGCTCGGGTCCAACTATGGCCCGCTTGACGCAGACGGTTGAGTCTGCGTTGTGGACGTCACTATGGTCGTTGGACCAATAGTGGCTGATGTTGTGACCGGGATTGGCGGAGGCGGCAGCGTTACTGTCGCCGTTGATGTTCCGCGGTCCACAAGGCTTAATGACCCAGGTATGGTCGGGCCAGTGGGGATGTTTCCAACTGATGGGTCCTCCACGGCCATGTTCACATGATAATGCTGCTGGTGATACACTGGCTGGCGGTAGAACCGTTGGTCCTGCCGCTGAGACTCGTCGACTTTGTCTTGTCGGCGCTGTGTATCCGAGTCCGGAAAGGTATGATAGGACGGTGGTTCCGCGGACAACTCGGAATGTAAGTTCTCGAGATGCGATTTTTCCGCGTCTAAGCAGGCGTTCTCCGTGCTTAGCCTTTCCAGATCCTCGTTCGGTTATACGTTGAGTGGCCGCCTGGTAGTCTTTGACCAGGCCGGCATTGTTGGCTTCCAAGGTGATGATCCGGTTCTGTTGGCCTTGGATCACCTGTTTGGCTTGGATGAAGGCCTGCTTCAATTCAGCGAAGTTTTGCTGCCCAATGGCGCTGTTGTGCTCAAGTTGGACGCGAACCGTTGATTCCGTCCTGAGCTGGTTCTCGAGGGCAGCGTTTTGCTGCTGAAGTTGCACGATTTGTGCATCCTTCTGTTGGACCGCTTGGTCCAGCAGTCCTCCCTGGTTGGGCCCGATAGTTATCGTGCAACAGGTTGAATCCGTTGCGCAATTATGAAGGCCTTGGCCAGAAGAAATATTGACAGGTTCTTAAGTATAGAAAATGGAGTACTTAATATATTGACGTTCTTTAGATACTGGTACAGTGGTATAGTGTGGTACTGTAGTGCATTCTTACGAGTAAAACAAATTGTTGCCACGGAGGCAGCAATTAGTGCAATAATGTAGAGAAAAATCGGAATTGCACGGACCAATTAATGAAAAAAGTGAAAAAATGGCCAGTGCTCACAGGTTCAAGAAAAACTCGTGCGGTAGTCAAATATTAGTTTCCGTCCAAGGGGGTTTTGCCGAGCGCGGAGCGCTCGGCATACCTTGTATTCATACAAGCTTACCGACCAAAACGTATTTATGCGCCGTTTTTATAGACTCGTCAGCGCGTCGTCAGTTTTAGTCCAGCTTGATCTTAAAAAATTCCATATTTTCCATAGATTTGCCAATAGGTTTTTGTTTGTTTTTAATAACCCGTGGTCAAAAGATAGTTTCACCAGGTCTTAAGTATAGGAAGCGTCAAGAGCACTCGAAGAAGTATCACTGCACACTGCACAGCAGTAAAAAGTACTTAACATATTGAGTGTAACCACGGAGACTATAGCCGATTCATAAATACTTGCTTTTTAGTGTAGATGATAATTATTGTGTATACAGTAAATTAAATTGGTAAACGTACATAAAGGTAAACTACAGCGTCCCTTATGTCGCATATACAGTATCTGCGTACGTCAGAACGTAAAAATATCAGAATGTCAGAACGTCAAATGGCAGATGTCAGGTAAATCAGAACGTGAAAAATTCAAAACGTCAGAAATTCAGAACGCCAAAACATCAGAATGTCAGAATATTAGAACGTCAGAAAAATTAGACCGTCAGAACGTGAAAAATTAAGAACGTTAGAAAATTAGAACGTCAAAATGTGAAATATTAAAAACGTCAGAACATAAGAATTTCAGAACGCCAGAACATCAGAACGTCAAAAATTAAATCGTTAGAAGGTCATTACGTCTTATAGAATACAACTGCAATCATAGTCTAAAAAAACTTTTTTCCATAGTTCTGGCATTTTCATGTTTTTAATGACCTTTCCAAAAAAAAGCCAATACTATCCAGAACTTAAATGCCGAGCGCGGATGCGCGAGGCTACCTTGTATCTACAGGCTGCAGCACATCAGGTGACCACATGGCACAGCATGTGGTCACCTGATGTGCTGCAGCCTGTAGCACTGATGAGCATCAGCACATCGCAAATTGCAAAAAAATATTGCACTATCATGAGTAACATAACGATAGCATACAGGTGTACAATACATAAATCTTTTTGCCCGAACCGCTTGTCATAATCCATATTTAAGTACTATTATTTAAGATTTTAATGACGTCTCTAGAAATGCTGTATATAGAACGTGATGATATAAAAAGAGTTTGCATCATTCAAAACAATCACGAGATGATTATGGTAATACAAATTAAGACTAATATTTAATAATATAATAAACTTGTCCACGAAATGGTCGTCATTATTCGTGATTCTCGCCGCGATTGCAGACTGGCAGTGTGTCATTTTGACGTCACTAACAGACAGGGATTTTACTGTGCGCCAACAGGAGAACTACGCATGCTCTCTGTTTCTGTTCGGGTGCTGTCATATGCGCGGTGGTGCAATACCGTGGTCATAGCACTGGCGCTTGATTTAAGAATACTGTAAACATTTTTATCACGCGTTTTTTCCTCGTTTGCAGAGGATGGTTTTCTGTGAATTTTCATGTATCTGCCCAATTAACAAACAGCATAGTTTGCGAACGCGCGCTGTTTAAAGATTGCCGGGATAAGCACTTGTTGTTATGTGCCTACGATGACTTCCCGTCGCACCTGAGTCGCACGGCTCCCAACCGCCCCAGGGCGCCATCCCGGCGAGAATCATCAATTGTTGTATTACTGTATTGTGGCACTATTTCTGAGTTACCATACGTGTTTAACGGTTCCGGTTTCAATTCGGGTTCGGCAACAGCCTGCCCGTGCGTCTCATTCCGGAAAGGCTTTGACATGAAGTAACCGCTTTGCGCCTTATCGCATAGGACCCCCAAAATACTCAAGTCACATAAATAGAGTCACATAAAAAGAAAATACAACTTTTTGTCAACCTTTATTGCGATTTCGTCCCTATATACATACTCGCATATCATTAAAATATCAAACCACGATGGGCTTCTATACTTGCAGCAACGTACTGTTTTAAGCACTGGGCTGAACTGTACTGGACTGAACCAAGCCGTCCAAGCCGATGAGAGAGTAGAGAGCGTCAAAAGATGTTCGGTTACAGTAAAAATGAGCTCCGACTGTAACCCGACTCAGCCATCTCGATACGGTAGGTGGAGCGTACGCTCTACGCAGATCCCCTGTTGAAGCATATCGCGCTTTGAGCTCGGTGCAAATTAATAAGTAACACTAAGGGTACTCAAACATCCTTTACGAACGGCTCTATAAGTTATAGATGCGATTTCTCTTTAACTCTCACTAGCCAATCATAGTTCTCTAAATCAGTTAATGATAAAATAGGTTTGAATGGGTGTTTGCGCATCCCACTTCACAGAAGGATAGAAAGTCTAAAACCATTGAAAACAAATTTCAGTACGAGTAGTCCGCAAAAGATATCTGCACATTAGATGCAGGATCCGTTTCAGTTTGCACTAGCGATTTCCAACTCAGCGGGCCCTATACCGAAAAGTAACGATTTCGGTACTTTAAGTTAAAGGACTTTAAGTTAAAGAGAGGAAAATTATAGAGCCTTTTGTCCAATGGCAGTGCAGAGGCGGAGCTAAAAGTTAAAGGATCTGGCCCCTTTAAGTTATAGAGCCACTCGTAAAGGATATTTGTGTACCCTTACTGCGCCTTAGAAAGATTTGATTTGCGTTGTAGTTTGTACCAAAGCTTTATTGTAGAACTAATGGGTTCTTGCTGTTGTGCGAAGTGCTGTAGTGTTTTCCTGCAAAGCTTTTTCCCATATCCTGGAAGACGGATAAACGTGTTATTCAAGCTGCCAACATGGTGAGGCGTGCAGTTATTGGGTAAAACGTAGAAACGCAGTCTTTTTACGCTGAAGACGTTTGGTTGTACTTTTTCAGTTATATAATATATCTTTTGTTGTATCAGTAATTGTGAGGTTGTGAAGAATCTGGCGCATCTCCATGGCTTTATTGGCATTATATAATTTGTCTCTTTTTTCTAACTATGAACATAAACAAGCATTTGATTTTTTTCAAACGAACATTCGACTTTTTGTGGACAAATAACTTTGTGATTGATGTTGTGCTTAATAGTAAGTACATGTGCCCGTTACTGTACTACGGCGATTACGCAGTAGTCTTAAAATTTGACAACATGTAATTAATTTGTTTACGATAAATATACAAGGCAGTTTCGCGCACTCGCCCTCGGTACTTAAGTACTGTCTGTACAGAATAGATAATACATTTACCTTTCGTTTTGGTGGTGATTGGAAAGTTTTTAAATGCTTACATAAAATGTGCGAAGGACTCTTTAAGTGTCAGGAACTAGAGATTTTGCGAGCCTTTCGGATTACATTCCGGCCTTTCGGACTTATATTTCTTTAGTTAGGAATTTAGGATACGCAATCCCGAAACACATCGAAATTACGTATCTTAATTATATGCGTTAGGATTTTAGGGACTACTGCTTTAGTGTACTACTTTCTGGATGAGCCGTAAAACGTACATAGTACAACCCTGCCGCGCCAAGTTTGGACAGTTGCGTGCAATAAATTATAAAATATTTCTTTGTACTGTTTCGTCTTTGTTCCTGCACTTTTTTAGTATATTTTTTTATTGCGGATCTAGCGCCATTAAAATCGTTACGGTGTGATATGCCAGTAGCGAGCTAAGCGGTGAGTTAAGGGGTGGGGTGGTGGCCATTTTCAGGATACTTATAAATACCCTTCTAAAAACTTCGCCAAGCAATCTAATTCTGGGGACTTTTGTGAAAACTGCTGAGTGGCCCAAAAGGTGTCTATTACGGGTTACCAAAAGAAGCTTGGGGTACCGGTGCTCGGGTACCGTGACTTCGAAACGCTCCCATAGACTTGTATGTTAAAGTAAGTACACGTCCCGAACAATAGGGTTGCCTAGCGCACAAGCGTTGGTAAGGTTGAGTTTATGTTATCCATGCATGACACATGGATGATACTAGATTTTTTTAAACTTTTGAAGATTATCTACTACACAGACGGGGAGACTAGGGTGTCAAATAAATGGCAGACCAGCTCGGCAAAGCTGGAGTTAAAAAAAGTTATCTTTGTTGTTTTACTTTCTCGGGACAGAACTGCTCGGACTGGCCTTTGGAAAACCAAGAAAGGGTGCGGCCTTCGGCATCAGTCTGCTACATATTTCAAAAAAATCGTAATGAAGCGGACCGCCGTGATTGCGATTTCTTATATTTCTTGATCTCTTAGACCACTTTGGTTTCTTATGTTTCTTAGGTTTTCTTAGGTTATCTCAGATTTCTTTAATTCACAAATCTTAAATCTCAGTTTCTTAGGTTTCTTAGTTTTCTTAGGTTTCTTAGCTTTCTTAGACTGCTTAAGTTTCTTAGCTTTCTTAGGCTGCTTAGGTTTCTTAGGTTTTCTTAGGTTTCTTAAGTTTTCTTAGGTTATCTCAGATTTCTTAAATTTACTTAGTTTTCTTTGCGGTTGGGTTACCCGATGCGAAGTGTGCACTGCGTAAAAATCGTCCGCCGCAACTTTATGTACGGATGTAGATCCCGTAAACTGGTTATATGAAAACTAAACATCTCTAGCAGGTCTTCGGCCTCTCGTGTTAGACCGCGGTAATCTCCGCTTCTGCTCATCCGATCTTCATGCTTCAGAATGTTTTGAAAACCTCTCAATGTGGCGGGTGATCTAAGACCAGTCGTTGTTTGCTGAATTCAGAACCGCTAAGTATTAGTCCATGTATGTCTATGGAGGCCCATAGCAACAAGCCGTTTTTTGGGGCCTGTTTTGCCATCTTGAGGCGCAAAATATTGGCAGTGCCCCTGCGACGAATATTGGCAGTGACGTTGCGACGAATTTGACGCACTTTATCGCGTCGAAATCGACCGACGCGTTGGCCCGATCATCGTGGTCGTGTGCTTAGCATGTATAACAGGTTACGGATGTAGAAAACCAGTTTACGGAGGACTACATCCGTAACCGATTTTTCGCTCGCTAATATTTGGCCGGAGGAGAGGCCGAAAACCTGCAAGAGATGTACAGTATTCATATAACAAGCTGAGCACGGATGAATATTGGCTTACGACTATTCAGAAAATTCTGTGTCATAACATTAGAATGTGAACCCATTTATTCGAGGCTAGGAAAACAAGAAACAAAAAGATCGAGATTCCTCGGAAGCTAGTATTTTAACCGTGCATTCGCTTGGTTATTTTTTAATCCGACCGTGGACTACACGAAACGCAGATGCGAATTCAAAGCTTTTCCTGTTTAAGCTTTTCCTGTTTAAGCTTTTCCTTTTTCAGCTTTTCCTGAGTACAGTGTAGTGTGATCGCGGTAACAGACTAGCCTATGTTAACCCTATGGGATCCATGGTCACAAGCATTTGAGTGACCACTGGACTGGGGGTTCTGAATATTGCCAACACCGATTGGTCTTAGATCACCCGCCAGACCGAGAGGTTTGCAGAACATTTTAAAGCAGGAAAATCGGATGAGCAGAAGCTGAGATTACCGCGGTCTAACAGCAGAGGCCAAACACCTGCAAGAGATGTTTAGTATTCATATAACAAGCTGAGCACGGATGAATATTGGCTTACGAATGGGCAAATAAATTAGTTTAAAATTCATACGTTGCAGCGTATTCGAGAAAGCAGTAACAGTTATTTCTTTTGTTTGAAAACAGTTGGTTTTTGTATAAGAAAACAGATTTTGTTCAGTTTATCGGATTTAACAAATGACAGGGAATGCTTTGCGGTCAACTTGCGGTTGTATCAGCTGAAAATTTCAATTTTAATTTTAATATTCATAAGTTGCGGTGTATTCAAGGTATTAGTATTCGATTTTATGTGAAATAAGAGCTAGCATTCAGTTTATGAATGGGAATATTCTGCGGGGAGACAGGATCTTTTTGTAGACAGGGAATGTTCGGTAGTCAGTTTCCGGTGGCTACAGCTGAAGTTCTTCCTTTTTTTGTTGTTTGGGCTGGTGGCTCGCCAACAAGCGGGCGTTTAGTGGCATTGTCGGTTGCGTTAACTGTTTGAACTTCTTCTTCCGATTCCGGGTCAATCAGGCCGATTTCCAATGCCCAGTTCTTGATGGTCAGTGCCGGTAAACTTTCAGAAATGTAAAAATATGTCTTGTTGTAGGCGGATTGGAGACCACCATTGTTGTAGCTGGTGTGGATAAGGTTATGAAAGAAAACAATCTTTTTCTCGTAGACAGTTGGCATGAAGATCAAGTGAAAAACTTCAAGAAACACAGAGGCGAAGCCAAAGCTGTTTCATGTTTGAGCTAATTGAGTACATACAGTGTACTGTGACCGTGGTAACAGACCAGCCCATGTTAGCCCTATGGCATCCATGGTAACTAGCTTTCAAGTGACCACTGGGCTTGAAGTTCTGCATATAACAAACAACGATTAATCTTAGATCACCCGCCAGGCCGAGCGGTTCCCAGAACATTCTAAAGTGAGAAAATTGGATGAGTAGGAGCTGAGATCATAGCGAACAAAGAGGAGAGGCAGAAAACCTGCAAGAGATGTATAGTATTCATATAACCAGTTTACGGGATCTACATCCGCACACAAACTTTTGCGGCGCAAGTTTGTTACGCAATGCACACTTCGCAACGGTTGATTGCATTGGTCCCAGCCGCTAAAAAAACTACGAAAGCTAAGAAAGAGAAATCTAAGAAAACTTGAAACACCCTAAGAAACCTGAAAAAAAAGAAACCCAAGAAATAAAAGAAACCTAAGAAACCTAACAAACCTAACAAACCTGAGAAACCTAAGAATACCTAAGAATACCTAAGAAACCTGAGAATACCTAAGAAAACCTAAGAAACCTAAGAGCCTAAGAAACCTAAGAAAACCTAAGAAAACCTAAGAAACCTAAGAAACCTAAGATATCTAAGAAATATCGTAAATGAAAGAATACGGGGTATACCGATCACGCTGGTGGGATTGACTGCGATTAATTTTTGCACATATTTCTTAAATTTTCAATACTTTGTAACGTGCGAATGCCGAAGGCCGCGGTCTGTCTCGGTTTTTCCGAACGGTCCGCAAACAGACAATGTATTTACCTTGTATGTCTATGGGGGCCCATGGCAACAATTTGTTTTTTGGGGCTACTCCTTCCCTTTTGGGGCGTATCGATGGCGCAATCGCGTAAGAACATTCGCGTCGTTGAGACGAATTTAACGCACTTGGCCGCGTCGAAATCGGTTCAGCCGTTCGCCCAAACAATGGCTACATTATCGATCGTGTATACGTGGTTACGGATGTAGATAACCAGTTTACGGCGTACACTTGGCTTGAAAAGTAAATACACGAACCCTTAGAAACCTGTGCGTGGACACCGTGACCGGTTTCGCGGTTTTTTTCGCAGACAGTTGACGGATAGCGCCTACCTTTTTTTATCTACCTAATTTTATTTACTATTAGGGATACAGCATAATTTTTTTCGTTGTACTACTGAGTACTTTTATTCGCACAGTACAGAAGCCGGTTGACCTTTTTTTGGCATATATGAGGGTATTAAGAAAGCTTGAATTTATATTTATTTATTGGGTAGGGTCGTTAATTTTGTTTTGTGAGTACCGTTGGAATTTAGTGATATCAGCAAATGGTAAAAATTTATTCGGATTCTTGTTCTGCTGTACTAGTACTGTGTTTGGAACGAGGTCCGAAGCCGAGGCGTGCAGGCCCATGGCAACAATTTGTTTTCTGAGGCTCCGGTTTTCCCCTTGAGGCGCACCAGGTTGGCTATAGTGCAGGATTACCCGCTTGGGTGCGACGTTTCAGGCGCACTTCACCGCGTCAAAATCGGCCTACCCGTTCGTCCAAACATAATTTTCTTAGCAAAGACCGTCATGGCTGGTCACCTACCAGTTTACGGAGGACTACATCCGTAACCGATTTTTCGCTCGTCAGTATGTTTTTTTTGCCAGATTCGATGGCTTTCAATTTACCCGAATGCGTGGCGTGTAAAATAAACCATTTTCCGGGGTCCTGCTCATTAATTCTTTTTTTGCTGCACACTGATGCCGGTGGGCCAGGTGGTTCTCGTGTCGTTTATACTTGTGAGACAGTACTTGTGAAAATGACGTGAGACAAATTTTCTGAAAATTTAAACGAAATTTACAGGGCAAATTTTGCCGTTGTTTTATTCGTATTTTTTTCCTCATTTCTAGCATTTTCCTGTGGTTTCTTTGATTTGCTAGCGAAGCGATGCCGAAAGCCGCGGTCTGCCTCTGCCGCTCAAACTGTACAAATCGTTGTAACTATGTCTATGAAGGCCCATAGCAACAAGCCGGTTTTTTTGTTTGCCCAATAAAGTACATTAAGAAGCCTAATGTTTTCGCCTGTTTTCTTAGTTTTGTAATTTATTTTTATGTGAAACTTTTAACTAATATTTTGCGTGTCTAATATGGCTTAGAAGATTAACTACATGTTTTAAAATGGTTAAATTCTGAATATATTCTCTTACGTTGTTTCTCACGCCACTTTAAACCCTAAATTCGTTGTGGGTAGGCCGGAATGATTTTTTCGCTGGGAACGATGCCGCGATATCAGAGGATGTTCACGGATGTCAACCAGATTAGCTGCCAGAACACAGTCCTCGTGCGCAACGACGACGACAGTTGGTGGCTGGGGTATATTCAGGAGATGGACGGCGACCAAGTCTTTATCTACTTTGACTCCACAAAGATCAGAGCGCGGTGGATTCACCTAAGATCTATCTGGTCATTCCCATTTTACTGGACCAAGGACGCTCGTGATAAGCAATTAGGAGGCTCCTATAACGTTCCAGTTTTTGTGGCACTCCGAGACGAAGACAACGGACCATTTTGTTTCCGCCCAGCCGTAATGTTGCGGCCTTTATGGTGTTGTGAGTTCTTGTATGGAATATGCTTCATCAGAACTGATGGTGGCATGGATAACGCTTACGGACAGAGACCTCGTTTGGAGTTGGTTGACCACGGCCAGGTTGTCTATCAGTTACCGCCCACGGGGCCATCCTTATTCGAGCGTCGCAGTGGTTTGATTTTCACCAAACACTTCATCCCGTTGGCCAGAGCACAAGCCCTTCTGGGAGATGCTTCCGACAAGTTCCGGATCGTCAAACATCTTTGCACGGCTCTAAGGGAAGAGTTGCGCTTACCGTGCCCGTCGGCGTCTTGCCGGTTTCATCTGCGAATTCAAGAAGATTGCTCCGTGATTATTATTATCGGGTGCACAACGGACCCTTTAAGACCGCCACTGACGACTTCTTTGTTGTTGAAAGTTCTGGAAACGCATCTGACCAGCCGTGCTGAACTGCCACCTATCGCTAACCGAATGTTTTGTGCAAGCGAAAGCGTCCCGTTTGAAGAAGGTTAGTTATACGTAAGTTATAATCGCGCTTTATAACTTTGCACGCCGGTCCTGATTTGCGTTTTAACCTACAATAAGTATCACATGTTGTTGTTGCTACAGCAACGCTTAAAAGGTTTTCATTTTTTGTACTTTTTACTTGCTCATTTACGAAACGTTTTTTAATCGGATTTCGCACATTGGCTCGAACGCCTCTACGATGTGCACTTCGCAAACCGGTAACAAGGGATGAGAGAGAATCGCGTCACACCATTGTGTTACTAAACCCTCTCTCCGTTCAGTCAAAATTGTGAAAACACATACCTGGCCATCGTTTTTAAACAGTTTCCGTTTTCACTATGCTGTTTCAATATGTAAACAAAACTGTAGCAAGCCCGGGCATCCATGCATAATACAGACCTCCCGAAACGTACAGTAAACATTTTATACGGAAAGGTAGCAGCAGCAAAGAAGAACATCATGTACAAACATAAAACGTGAATACTGGGCTTGCTACAGGTTTTTAGGCTAGGAGCATAGTTGAAGGAGCAGAGCCAGTCCTGCCTCCGCTGCTATGACTTGAGCGTAAGCTCGGTTTAAAGACTTTGGTAATAGCTGTTTCCACCGGCCTGTGTCTGGACCGAGCTATTCATCGAACAAAGACTGCATTCGAATAACTGCAAAAAACACTTTTCGAAAAGTGTTTTTGGCGTTTTATTTGAAAAATTTTTAACTTTTCTTTTACATGTTTCGGTATATAAGCTTCTAGAAGAAAACACACACAACGATGGATATTACATCATAAACAAAGAAAGTTTCTCATTCAACTTTTGGTCTCAAAAGTTTTTTCTTTTGTGCAACAAAGGAGTTTCGGTATATACGAGGACCATTGGGTGCTGTGAACATACCCTGCACGATTAGGCTACGATGAACAGCCGGCTAAAGTTAAGCCGTTTGCATTCAGACTGTGATATCAGTGGCGTTGCGAGCTACGGCTGTTCATCGCAGCCTAATCGTGCAGGGTATGTTCACAGCACCCAATGGTCCTCGTAAGCTTTCTAGAAGAAAACACGCACAACGATGTATATTACATCATAAACAAAGAAAATTTCTCATTCAACTTTTGGTTTCAAAGTTTTTCTTTGTTAGATGAATAGCTCGGTCTAGACTGAGGCCACAGAGGATCGCGTCACACCATGGTGTAGCCAAATCCTCTCTGCGTTCAGTCGAAGTTGTGAAAACACATATCTGGCCATTGTTTCCAAATTATTCCCGTTTTCCCAAACCCGCTTTCTACTGTATTGATCCCCTTAAGTCATGCTATTATCAATAATGCTATTAAAATTAGGAAATGGCTATAGGCACCCCCTTTCACCCCCGTTATCTATAGGCACCCCTTTTCGCACCCACTTAGACTATAGGCACCCCTTTTTGATTAACTAATTCCTGCACCCCGTCGCACCCGAAAACAACAAACGACCAAGCACGATAAAGTGAAACGAGGTGAAAGAACAAAAGAGGGAATGGTCAATCATGTACTAAACGAAATCCGTAAGAAAGATGCCGAGGCGGTTATTTATATCGTGGTGTCCGATACCCCAAAGGCCCCAAACATTACCATCAAGACCTCAGAAATGCAAGAAAAATTATTAAAGCAACCAAATCATTATAAAGTCTGTCAAACCGGCACATTGTTGGAAGGAGTGCCTAGGACGTACGCATTTTTATGTGAATGACCTAGCCATGTCAAAAAATCTTTGTAAACCAAAAAAACTGTTAGAAAATCTTTGTCAGGCTGCTGGGAAAAAAAAAAGCAAACAGGAAACAGGTGCCTATAGTCCACGGAAAAAATGGGGTACGAGATTTATGTAACAGAAAAGGGGTGCCTATAGTAAAACAGAGTGCAAAAGAAAGACGCTTTAAAATGGTTTATTACGAATAAAACTAAGCTACCGGATTGGGATGAAACTGAGAAACAGTTTCTTAAAGTGTTTGGCAAAAGTGCGTACGACCTTGATCTGCAAACTAGTGCCCTGCAGCGGAGTGCGAAACTGCGTCCAGTCCGATCCGAACTTAAAAAATTTTATCCGAACCCAGTCCGACTCCGAATTCTAAAAATCGTACTCCGACCAATCCGATCCGAAAATATTTTTGGCCAATCCGAACCCACTCCGATCCGATCCGAAAAATTTTCCAAAAGAATATTACCTAATTTTATTATACATTAAAACACATCCCTACATCAAAACATTTTTAATGCCATGTTTTCGGTAGCAAAAAGACTTCAGAATTCAGAAGTACAGTTTTCTTGGGCATAATAAAGGGTGCGCTAGAGAATTTACATACAATGTACGACAAAAAGAAGTTGATGGCTCGTTTTTCAAACATATTGCGCAGACAAGCGCTTCTCTGTTCAGGCCCAGTGCAGGCGATGTGATGCGCGTCGTACAGTCTGTTCTGCCACCCATTTCTCGTGAATTACGAAATAGAATTGCCAAGCCAATATCTCAAAAGATCCAGAAAAAAATTACAAAATTTTTGATTCTAAATAAGTGGCAATTCATGGGAAACACAAAAAATTAACAGTGTTTGTTTTTCTCATTGACTTAAGCATAGGTGAAAGCGAAACGATTTTGCGCACAGTTTCTTTGCTAAGCCTATGAGAAGGCAAAATGGCTAGAACTTGTTTTATTTGCCATAAACAGCCACATGTTTAGTATCAAAAAGTTTTGAATTTTTTTCTACACCTTTTGATATGCAGTTTTTATAGTTACACTCCGAAATTCACGGAGCGCGAGCGTTTGGAAGTAGCATGCAAAGAAAGAAGTAAGCGTCCAAGTTTTACTGGTGGCGTGTCGTTGCGAGGCTATTTTTGAACCGCGGACCGACTGATCGGTTCAACCTCTTTTTGTCGTCCGTTGTATACAAGAATGTTTTAGATAAATTTAGTTTTTTAGCACTACAGTGTCGAAGCATCTGTGGAGGTTAGTTATCTATCTTCACTGTCAGGAATCTGTATCAGATCTTTTTGTTGTATACGGTTCACCCCACGGATTACCCACATATTAGCCAGGGTCAAAAAAAGGGAGAGAAAATTAAAGGAAGGGATGTCCTAAACGTCCGGAACCAAAATAATTGGTAGTTTCATGTATTCTTTAGGAACTTAGAGTAAATTTAGTTGAACGTGTATATTACGAGTATTAAGTACTGTTATCTCAATCTCCAGGAATAATCCAATTACAAGTGCTGCAAATAAAATGGGAAGCCGGTGCCTAGTGAAACTGACTGAGCTGCACAACACATGTGGTCCGTTTAACGTACTGTAGTAGTTATAAGTACTAAAATTATTTGATAAGACGATAACAAATAATGACATCATAACAATCGTAAAACACTCTAAATATTCAAAAGTGTCAGGAAAATTAATAAAGGGAAATGAAAGAGAATTGACAACAGTCTACTAAACAAAAGCAGATACTTCGGTGCAAATTAATTCAGCGCAAATGGAAGCATCGCGCGAAGCGCGACGCTGACGAAAATTTTTGTTTTGAAGGCCGGTGAAATTCAATCAAAATTAATTATTAATATTTATTTAATTACGGATTATTCGGAGTCTCGATTGCATCCGAACCCGATCCGATCAGGTGCACAAAAAATCCGAAACCACTCCGACTCCGAATTTTCCAGATTGAAATCCGTCCAATCCGGTCCGAAAATCGGAGTGGGTTCGGAGTGGATCGGATTTCCCAGTCCGTTGCAGGGCTCTACTGCAAACACTAAGCTTGTCTAATAATCCATTAAAAAATCCTTTGGGTTACGTCGTGTCTGAGTTTAGCTATTTAGTAAAGGTCATTCACCACCATAAACCATCAGTAGCTTACATTATCTGACAGGTTCATAATGAGACTTTTGGTACACCTCCGCGCGTTTAAACTCTTGAAATTTTATTTCACTAATAACTCCCGAACCGAATGTTGCGCGCGCAAACGGATTCCACGCCTACGTATACAAATCCTTTGGCAAACAAATGTCATAAAGCAATGGAAAAAAGTGTTTAGGAGTGGGCGACAGCGAAAGTTCTCGTGTATGAACCCGAATTCGGTACTATGTACCAGGCCAAATCCTTAATTGGGCAGGCATTTTTAATTATCAATAAAACTGCCTACCCAGTTAACTGGCACACGTCCCAGCCGACTTTCAGACTTGTACAAAGAAAACCCAGAGCTGTGTAATAGAAGTCGAGCACGTAACAATCTCTGCTTTTTCCGCCGTTGGCACTACGGGTGAGTTTATAAACAATTAACGAGAGCTCCATGCATTCTGATACGGCACGGACTCGCGTATCCCTGAATGTTAAGTGGTATTGTCAAACCAGGCATATTACTCATTACTAGCAGACCTCGCGCAAACTGCGCGGAATAATTAATGCGATGGATAAAATATGATTTAGATATCATAACGTAGTGCAAAAATTAAAACTCATGACACAGCCTGCAAGTAAAGTACTTAAATGTTTTATGGACGAAGAGTAAAATTCTACAATATACCGAAGTCGACACTCGACAGTGGGCTTGCATGATGTGTGCCTCTCGAACACAAATGCGCGCATTACAAAAGCATTGTTGACGATACTATCTACTGGAAAATTTGCCTATCGCTGTAAGAAGAATTTATACTATGGTAGCAAGACATAAAATGAGATCTTCGAAATTCTATAGTGTAAAAAAGAAAAATCTATTGTTGGGCTATATCTGTTGTTGGGCTATATAGGGACCCCGTAATTTGCGGAAGTTTATAGTTCTCTCCCTTCCTTTTTTGCCATTCTGCGCTTTTTCAAGTTGTAGACTGTAGAGTTGTAGACTATCTGATAACAGCTTACATGTGCTTGTAAATCCCGCCTGGAATACTAACACCACTGGTGTCCTTCACATCATAGTTTGTTAAACAATCAGTACACCTTCCGATGCGAGTTCCTAAAGCGGTGCGTCGCCAGTGTGCTAAAGTCTTTACGGAACTATTTAGGAACTATTTGGGAATTGGTGCGTGTGCACCCGCACCAATTCGTCGGAGAGCTGGGTTGCCTTGTTTGCACCCACTGCCTTATCACTTGACTGACTGACGGCGGGATACGGCCGAACGGGCCGATTGCTGTGGGGGATGTGACAGCTGGCGAACAAAGGCTCACGATAGTGAGGAAGAGGCTTTATTGTGATAGCAATAAAGTACAGAGAACCAAAACACATGTGCTTGTAAATCCCGCCTGGATTTACAAGGGCTCGATGTGAGCTGTAGCATGAAAATCACCGAATGTCAGGCTGACATTCGGTGAATGAGAATGAACGGCACATCGAGCCAAAGCATGGAAAAAGCCTAATGCGGCACTGGGCAGATCCAACACGAGCGAACGAACGCTGATAGACCGAGATGTAAAGCTGGGGCGTGGCTCCGCCTACATCGAGGCCGGCGATTGGCCGAGACGAAAGCTGGGCGGAAAGCTGCCTGAGTCGAGGCCGATCTAGCGCTCGACAGCGAGTGCGACTCGGCGTGAGTCAGCACACCGGAAGCGGGACTGTCGCTGGCTGCCATACTCGTAGGCTGCCATAGCGACTGGCCCAACAGGGAAATACTGCATTGTCGGTCTGCACCGTTTGTTCTCGAAAATCATCAGCCGCCGCTCTACCGACGAAGCAGCCGCGTTGTTCAGCCCTACTCGGCTTTGGGATACGAGGCGGAAACGAGGCAGTTGTACAGGCCGTGCATAACTACGTTGAATCGTCGCATACGGACGCAAGAGTAACTGCAAAGTTGGACGTTCGCAGTTCGCACTGCATTTAACACGCTGCGTCGAAACACGCTGCTTGCTGCTGTTCGGACGCAATTTCCTGCTTATTACCGATAGATTTGGCAGTCGTACCGAAATGCTTCCCATTTGTCCTGCGGTTCCACTCAGCTGTCTTCTGAGACCTGCGTTCAGCAAGTCAACCTGTATGGGCTCCTTGGTTATGGTCTTGCTACGCTACCCATATTCGAAAAGTGGACTGCGACATCGCGGTGGGATGATGTCACCCTCGCTGGGCTTGCAGAAAGAGTCATCGCGGCACTTCGAATAATCATTGCCAGAGGTTTTCGAATAGGCCTGGAGCTCAGTCTGGCAAAATAGGCTTATTATAGCGTAGGTCAATTCACGGTAGATGGTCTTCACGCAATGCAGAGAGTGCTCGATGAATGTCCGGGAGTGTTAATCGCGAAGGCGGAAGACTTGGTGGCGCTTGGCGTTCCATTAGCAGCTGCGGCATGCGAGAGTTTTTGCACCGCAAAACCGTCCAGCTGAACCACTTCCTGAGTCAGTTGAAGGACATCCCTGCTCATTTCAGTCTTTACTTACTGAAGACTTGCCTACTGATTTCCAAACTGTACGGTTTCCGAACGGCAAGAACGGCACGTTAAATCCCCGCTCTGCTCGATTATTTTGCAAAAAGGGAGTCGCTGGCTGACCATCTGGAGGGGACAGTCAGCATCAGCGCTGACCGTACTGAGTGGCGTGTACGTTTCTTCGACGCCTGGGCTTAAACGGATCCTCCAAGGTTCAACTCGCTCGTCGCACTAGGATAAAACACCCGCGCTCCATTCCTCACTCAACGTAGCTTGAATTTATTAGTTTGCTTATCGTTCAGAGGTTTCAACATCAACATCATAAAACAAAGTAAACAGCGTTAAAACCATCAGAACGCGGTACGGTTGAAGTCACAGACAGCGCATTCCACCGCTGTATTTCAATGCTAATTCGCTGTAGCAGAAACTCGTAAGAGCGTCGTTCTCCCGTAGCATCCTTTAACCGCCTGCCCAATTCTCGCAAAAACTTAATACATGAAGCCTATCCGACCACGTGGTGTCAAACCTGCGATTGGCCGCTATCAAGGAAACGGATAGAGCAGTGTTGCTGGCCGCCACACACAGGGACTACGGCGCATGGCTTCATGTCCTTCCTGCCCCATGTCTCCGTACATTTCTGCGCGACGAAGAACGAAAATATTAGAATGGGAAATACTAAATCTGTAAATCGTCGAATCCTGTGGCAGCCGAATTTGCGCAATATGCTGCTTTTTAATTTTATGGGATCGAAAACAGTTCGCGATTAAAATACTGTACGGTTTTGGTAACCCTTTTGAATTAATTGCAAGCCGCATGGAGCTTGAATTGCTTGCATCTAACTTGCACTGTAGACTGTAGTGGCTTACATTTAACACTAACTGGATGTTAGCCATTACACGATTACAGTCAACAGTGCAAGTTGGATTATCGAAAATAGGCTTCACAACCATTACCGAAACGTGTATTATGCAAAGATAAACACGCACTCGGTTAAGTACCAAATTATGCTTTGCTAATGTAAAACCGTCTCTTATTGAGGAGAATAAATGGATTAATCATTAAACTAATGGTCAGCGTGGGACACACAGATAATTAATTTTATCTACAAAAAATCTAATTTAATCTACAGTAAATCGACCCCGGGGCATAGTCCTAAGGCAGGCGAAAATTTCGAAATGGAGCTTTCGATTTTTTATTATGGTTTCTGCATCAGAAAAAATCGCTTGTTCCGAATAGGTAATTAGTTTTTAAATCGGGTTACACAATCACACAAAACGGAAAGGTACAGAGTCACAGATTTCAGAGTCAAAAAGTAGCTAAATTCGTCCCCGAGCGTGCTTGGACGACGGAGTTGATTGGATAAAATGCAAGTAACCTCTGCCGAATGCTACATTTGCGAAAGGCTTTTGTGAAATTCCAAATACTTAATTTATGATTATTTATCTTTTGTAAGGAAAGCGAACCGCAAAAGACGCCGAGCTGCGGCGTGAGCGGGGTAGCAACCAAAACCATTTACGTAACGGTATTTGATATTAAATGGAATTTTGACAAAAATTTGACATTGGCATGTTAGTAAATAATTTAAGAAGTGCACAGTGGCAATTTCCTTGTTGTATTCTTAACACGTAGCAATATGGAAAAGTAAGTATTTCCTCGTATTTCAGTTCCTGTTGATAAGCTGATCGAAAAGGGCACCAGCGGTGGTGAAAGTTTAATTAAAAGGAATGCTAATAACTGAAAATCCTGCAATGCTTGGAAATAATTAAGTAGAACAATAGCAAAACTTTTAAAACTTAAAGTCGATACTTAATAGCTGAGTGAAATCTTCTTGATGGCTGATCTAGAAAAATGAATAGATTCCACGTACCGGTAAAGCTCAAAACTGAAAAGAGCTGTTTCCGGGCAAAATACTTCCTGTTTTAACGTTAACTCAACCTTCTAGCCGTATTTTTTTAAAGCAGTCGACGGGACGAGAAATATCCACTCAGGTTGAAGTTCAAATAGGCACTGTGATGTTGACAGGGGTTCTTCTCTTTGAAGGTAAATTATTCTACGTTTCCCTCATAAGAGTTATGGAAGCACAGCTACCTGTCTCTTTGAGTTTTGCATTAACCTACGATTTATTCACTGCTGATTTGCGCGAGTCGACTATATTTGCATTAACCTACCGCCTACGATTTATCCATTCCTGATTTGCGCAATTTGCGAGAGTTAACTATATTTGCTTTTATTTCATGTAGAAGACGAGCTGCTCCTGACTGCTTCCATCCGTGATCTGACCCCTTCGCTTCTAAGTGAAATATTTATCCATTTGGACTTGCATTCCCAAATGAGGACCAAACGGTACGAGCAAAGCGCTGGGCTGCCATTACTTCTGGTGGAAAAAGCAGCACCATGACAATATGGTGGGGGGAGGGGGGATCGTTGGGCGTAAGCGATATCCATCACCCGTAACTACGGCGGGTGGAGTTATAAGTTTTCTTAGGCTATAAAGGGAATCAGCTTTTTGAAGCCGTGTAAGCATGGGCTATTGCGCCCATATTTTCAGTTTTATTCACTGGTCAGTGACGTAGCAACCAGATAGTTGCCACCAATTGTGGTACGCTGTGTGCGGTCAGAGTGTGTTGGGTCGAGCTGCAGAAAAGTGCTAAGTCGTGACAGTGGCGTGAAGGTACGAGTAGTGTGATACTCAGTGAGCAGAAATGCCCAGTACGGGTAATGTGACGGCCTCTGCAACTCCCGCAGCGCCCCATAAGGAGAATGGTGGATCTGGCCTTCTGCGGTTCGAACCTGCGGTCATGACGTGGAGGTCTGGCAGTTTCGATACCGCACTATATCAAGTTGAGGAAGGTTACGGACACAGATGAACAGAAGGCTATCCTGCTGGACGCCTTGGGCGTGGACGCGATGGAAATGCTGCACGCCATGTACCTGCCGCGTGACCCGGACGATTACACCAATGCTCAGATTGTGGACAAACTTGGAGCAGGCATAGGTCCGGAAGACCAACGCGACAGTAGAGTGGGCGATGTATTTCCAGTTGCGTCAGGAGGCCGGGGATACATTGTTGGAGTTTTCCAACAAGCTGCGCCGAAAGGCCATCAGCTGCGGGTTCCCAGCGGACGTGCTGGAAAAGAACATGTCGTCGACATTCCTGAACGGTGTGGCCAGCGATGCCACGCGTCAGCACCTCATGACCAAGGATTTCACGACGCTTGAAAAAGCCCTGGAGATGGCCAAGACAACCAATACGAGCTGGCCAAGACCACCAAGCGAGGCCAGGCGTCCACGGAAGTGGCTGACGTAGCCATCGTGCGCACGAAAGCAGAAGGGCGTGGCCAAGGTCGCAGTCAAGGTCAACTAGGCCGAGCTGAGGGAAGAAGCGACGGCACAGGCGGAAGCCGCAGGAGAGGCGGTGGGCGTGATGAAGGGAGCAGCCCGGACGAACGCGGCAGCAATTCTGCTGACAATGGTCGACTGCGCGGGGAGGCGCAGGGTGTTATTCCTGTGGCGATGTGGACCACAGAAAGGCGGACTGCTGGGCGAAAGATGTCCGGTGTGGCAACTGTGGCAAACGAGGCTACATTGCTAGGATGTGCCGCTCTGAGCCTAAAGAGCGGGAACAGCACCAAGGCGGGAGGCGAACAATGCTCATAAACGAAGAGTTTGATGTCATGGGCATCAACATCGCCCCGGAGAGCACAGACGACTCGCTGGACTCAGTGTGGTGCGTGTTAGATACCGTAAGCAGGCAGCTGAATGAATTAGCGGAACGGTGCCGTGCGCTGGAGAAGCGGGATGGCAGAAATTCTGCGAACGAAGGTTCCCAGATGGATCAGGCAGAAGTGTTGTTTGTGAGTGAAACAACCGCCTACGGACGCATGGCAGACGGAACCGATGAACGGAGAAATAGCGACACGGCGTACAGAGACGGAATCAGCTGTGGTGCACGACCAAGCCAGAAGCAGTGCGAGGCGACAGCCGCTGTTGCGGACGCCGAGGCCAAACCGGATATCAGTCCCGATGTGACTGGAAAGCGTAAGAAAGTGAAACGCAAGACGAGGAAATAAGCAGCACCTTCGACTGCCAGTGGAGGAACCGAAAAAGCTTAATATTCGTTAAAAAAATTTTATTATTATTATTATTACTGATGCTGTAATTGTTTTCTCTTTTTTGTGAGTGGGTTCCCCACTGGGGGGAGATGTGACGTAGCAACCAGATAGTTGCCACCAATTGTGGTACGCTGTGTGCGGTCAGAGTGTGTTGGGTCGAGCTGCAGTAAAGTGCTAAGTCGTGACATTCAGCCTATTCTAACGTTTGAAGCATTGGATACGTAGTATAGACATCAGACGCCATTACGGAGCTGGAAGGGTGGTTGCTTCTTACTAGAGGAGTGCACTCAGTACCGGGTGGTTGAACAAAATGGCCGTCTGTTTTATCATGGCGCGCTGGATCCGTCAACGCTTAACTGACGTAATCTGAGTTGTTTTCGATAGAGCATTGCTTTAAATATAAAAAAGTTAAATGAAGTCAAAATTACCATAAGGCTAAAATTTTTTAAGAATTTTTTGTAAAATTGGCTTGGTTTGGACAATGTCCTGGTAGCGAAGATGTGAAATTACCAGAGCCTGCAAACTTGTGTTCACGTAACACAAAGTGTGTTCACGTAAAGGTGCATGTGTCCACGTAAAAGACAACTTGTGTTTAAAAACCGCCAATACTCCCCCCTTTCCATGTAATTATTCAATTCCTGTCTGGTATTTCCATTTCTAAATCAAAACAAAAACGAATGAACGATCGCTAGAATCTAGATACTTACGAAACGGCAAACCGAAAGGTCGTCATAGAAATGTAAACACAATTTACCTTTACTCTAGAGAAGCGCGCTGCTGTAAGCAGATGGGTAGCCTAGCGCTTATTCAGCACTCCAGCATGCTGCAACTACCTAGGCTCGCAAATTCTGACATACAGTACTATAATATTATTATAGTAGCTGGTAGCAGAAGCAATCCAGAGAGCATAAAGTTTTTAGTCGTAAAAAACAACTACGGATTGTATTTGGGATGGTTTGTACCTCTGATTCTGATAGCTGATTGCCTACTTTTGTCTTTTTTCGACGGTTTACTTTGATGTTTTGACCGCGATGACAACTCCTCGATCTAAAGTAACCTCTCTTGAATCAGGCCCGAGACCTGCACAGAAATCGATAAAAGAGTTTTTCCCTACAACATCCACAGGCGCCAAACGGAAAGCCCCCGAGTTCGACCTTCCTAACGAAGGCACTTCTACATCTTCTAGCAGAAAAGCGCATGCTGCGTGAGCCTTTGTTTGGTGGATGGGAAATGTTTCTACAGCAGGAAGTTAAAGAAGAAAACGAAAGCAAGCTTTTGTTTGGTGTGGAGCTCTGGGAAAAAGAGCGAAGGACAAATCGTAGGCAACGCTTTGCTCCTCCAATCCGCCCCTTTTAGATATTCGGTCAGATGTCATCGCATCACTGTGGAGTTACGTCACCGATCGCATGAGTATCGATGAGCCTGCTCTGATAGCGTTGTTACCATTAAAGTCTTTTAATAAACACATCAGTGCTGCAGCATTGGAGTCGTGTTACAACCTAATTGCTCCAGATCTCGACAAGCGTCAGTTTGGATTGGCGTATTACAGCTTTTGCCGTTTGGTGGAAGGAAGAATTCTAACCGATAGGGATGCGTTGAAAGTTGCACTGTCTGATGAGGAATTAAGCCCGATTGCGATTGCACTTGCAAGAGTTATTGCAGCAGTACCACATTCGTGTGATGTTGAGCGGCTTTTCTCGGCATACTCTCGGTTAAAGTCGGACGATCGCTCATCGCTTTCGGCGGACAGTATTGGGAAATATCTGCACGTGCATATCAATATGCCTCCCGTTGCCGAGTACGATTTTCGTAAAGCTGCAGAGTACTGGGTTAGTGCCAAAAACCGACAGCCAAGAGAGCCTCCAAGCGTCACCAATGCTTTCTTTGTCGGCGTATTTAAGGAAGCTTCCGATCGTGCAGTCGACAGGATTAGCGAATCTAAGCCAACTGTTGGATTCTGAGTACATGTTTTATAAGATGCATTGTACAAAGGTCATTCTCAGGTTTAGTTTTTAGCAGCGTGATTTTCAAACTTCTTTATGGTCGTACTATATTTTCGGTTGTCGTTGCTGTTAATACAAGGAATGTTTATGAGCAAACTTAATTAATGACACGGTATTTTTCTCACGCATTCTCTAATAATCTGATTATGTCGCGCTCGTAGTAGAAGGATGACCAACACTCTAGCAATGTACACGCTAGAGCGAAAGTTAGGAAAGAGATTGTATGTACCCCCCTTTGCAAAAATTAAATGTGTTCACGTAAATTTTCAAGATTTCTGGCTCTGGAAATTACCCGTTTCTATATGAAAAATTTTTGTTGTTCAACTAACGACATTAATGTAGCTTATTTTACTGTTTCTGGTAGAGGGGTTTTTTCTTGGTTTTTTACTGTAAGGAACTGCGGTATTCTAGCAACCGTGCTTGGCCAATGCGCTGAATAACAGAGACTCTGCACGAGTAACCGGCCAACAAAGTTTTTTCGAGAATAAATTTCTAACCAGCGCTCTAAAAGCTTATCTGGTTCGATATCGTTTCTAAAAGGGCAATGTGCTAGCTACATTTTATAGTTGAACCTGCATTTTTTGGTGCAACCCGTCATGCAGCCAAAAATTTTAACCGAAAATACTCGAAAATATCAAATAAAAAATCGACATTTTTGGAAAAGTCACAATGTGTCATGACTGCATAACTCGTTCAGCGTATGCAGTACGTCCGCAACTTTTTTTTCTATTGAAAGAAACCGTATTTTGCTAAACGAAACAGTTCGAAATGTTCAAAAAGTCAGTAAGGGGAAGAAATGGCAGAAGATTTTATGTTTTGCGAGCTGGGACACGAAAAATTTGCAGACAATTTCATTTGGCTTCATTGCAAACAAAGACGGCTTAATTTTTTTAAAAACGTCTCTAGGTTTTGTAGCTAATAAAATTTTCTATTGAATAAGCCTAAACAGTTTACGGTGCAACAAAGGGTATGCGAGAAACAAACAAAAACAGCAGACTGCCGTTTTGTTCAGCCACCCGGTAGATAATAATCTTGAATTGGTATTCCCAGCAACTCAGTAGGTCGAACAAGAGTGGAAGCGCTGGAACCTAAATGCGATTGGTGACCTTAGTCTAACCATACTCGTACAATAAATGCGATTTTTAAAATTTGTTCTTCTGATCCATTCTTGGAACTTTGTTTGTTCTTTATAATTCGATATTTCACGATTTTCTCCCAGCATGATATCAAGCGTAAAGCCGTACGACTAGACGGCACAGTTATTCGAAGTGTTTGCTTGCTTTGGGACCGATGGCGTCACGATATTAACGTCTTCCTTTTCACCACAGAGCGTCCATATTTGCAGAAGTACATCGTTTCATTTTGCATTAAAAAAACATATCACTATCCACTGTGTAACATATCACTATCCATACTGCTGGACATTTTCCGCAACGGTGAGATTAACCGGGCCGGGGGCCCGTCTCCTCGCACAGTCGACACCGGAAGCTGGCATATGGTTGAATGCCTTGCCCTCGGCACACATCGGTAACCTCTTGGACGACGACACCGTAAAGATATCAGTCGGCCTAAGACTGGGTGTAGATATCTGTGAAGCTCATTCATGTTCCAAATGCCACAAGCCCGTAGATGTGGATGGTCATCACGGCTTGTCCTGTGCATTTTCTGCGGGAAGGCATGCACGCCACGGCGGCTTGAACAGCATTTTGTGCAGGGCGTCAGCACCACGTTTGCGTGGCAACGTGGCATGTGTTTGGCATGGGACGTGATTTGCGTGGATACTGTCGCTGTGTCTCATCGGAAGTCCACTTCAGTTACAGCGGGATCCGCCGCCGCTCAGGCGGAGGACAGAAAGCGGGATTGTATTTGTACCTGCAGGGCAGATACATCTTCGTACCGCTGGCATTTGAAACTCTTGGACCATGGGGAAAGTCAGCTAGCCGTTCAGTGAAAGAAATTGGCAAGCGACTTCAACAACATACGGGTGAGCCTCGCTCCCATGAGTACCTCCGTCAACGATTGTCGCTGGATATTCAGCGGGGCAACGCTGCTTCCGTGCTAGGGACAATGGAGGGAGCGGCAGCATTAAATGAAATTCTGTTTTTTTGATCTGTTGTTCTGAAACTGTGATGTTACCGCATTTTGTGAAATAAAACAGTTTTTGCATTCTGTTATAAGACAGTTGAGGTGATAATTGAATCTGCAAAGATGTCAATTGGTCGAGAAATTGTGGGAGAAAATTGCAAAAGTCATATTAATTCTGTCTGCACTGAGCTTATGAGTCTGCCGTTCTTCCAACGGGGAAAAGATGGAAAGAAAGATCAAGTCTCAACTCTCAGTGCCTCACCCTGCCTGTTCAGTGGTCGATTCGATTCTATGTCACACTCCCTTTCGAGTAGTAGTTAACAGATGCTGTATCACAAATCTGGACGGTTTTATGACTAGCATTTCTACGGCAAAAGTAAGCTGCATGTACCCATAGTACAGCTATGGAAAACCTCTGAAATTTGTTTTTCCAAATTTATTCTTAACTAATGCACGTCGCCTACGTAAGGTTTCCGTAGAAAACGGTCCGAAGGAGTTTTGGAGTAAGACTAAGTACATAGTGGATCTTTTCTGTGATGGCGTAAAGAACGAATTCTGTTTTGTTTTGACAGGGTATGCGCTTTGTGGCAGTTGCTACTCAGCAGTCCCCGCATGGCGGAGCACATCAGCATCTCGTTTGAAAGCTGTTGGCATCTGAAGGTGGACAACGGAAACTGCTACAAAGCGGCCACTCTCCTCTGCCGCTCAATCAATACTACCACAGTAAGCCTCACAATATTGCGAGTTCCCCCGCCAAACCACAGGTCATTTTTGAACACGTTGCTTAAAACGATGGAAACTAAACTTTCCTTGATCGTGTTCAAAGACCACACTTACAACGAGGAGCCTAAAGGGACTCTACATGATCAGCAGCAATCTCGGTTGAAACATACAGCCATGATCGAGCTAACCATATATAAGCACACCTGCAACTACGTCGTGCTGCACAATTGGAAAGTTTCCGTTCTTTTCGGCCCCCTAATGTACCAAGTATTTGAACTACCTTCTTACCGAGAGCACTCTGACGGTGTTACCGCGATGCGCCGTCTCCCAGCACACGAGTGGGAATTCATGAAACGTCTTACAAGGCACTCTCACGAACTGAATATCGACAATCTGCAGATCCGCATTCCGAGGCTCCTTCTCAAATGCAGCGACGGCAAACTGCACATGGCCAGCCGCTTCATGTGCGCCCTCAATGACAACTTCCCGCCGGTCACTGCGGACATGCTGACAAAGGTCACCACTGTCCATGATCGCTGGGTGCGCAGCTTGGCGTATCCGGATGATTGGCAAGCCATTCGCAACTTTCTCCGACTGTAAGCGCCTTGCCTTGCAAGTTTGCATTACGTATTTTCTGAGCGGGTCCATTTTTAAAGAAACAGGCGTTGTATTAGGCGGATAGTATGAAGAAATAGCTAAAATACTAGCGGAAATAGCATCCCTGAACACGTGGACGACTTATCCACCTTTCTACCGGACTTCGGCAGAAAGCTGGATGGGGATTTTAGAGCATTCACCTTCCTGCCGGTTATATATCAATATCGATCAATAATCCTATAATGAGACTTTTGGTACTATACACCGGATGCATTTAAACTTTTTGGAATATGGTTACCCTTATGGCTCCGCAACCGGATATTGCGCCCCAAAAATATGTAGTTCACGCCTATGCATACTTCGCCTTTTTAAAATTGTGCTTCTTTAAGTTTACGTTTTATATTCTGCACACTAGGTGTGAGAATTTCTTAACAATATTAATCTTGCAAAATTGATTACTTCAGTTCTAATAGTGAAAATTTTTTTTACCACTTTCCGAGCAGTTAAGCCTGTAGATGTAAATTATTTTTCATAAAAAACCAAAAGGAACAAGCGGAAGTGGACCGGGTTGGAATGGGATAAACGGATATCTTTCTGGTTTCAACAATTTTCGTTTTCGACAATTTCGTTTTCGATTTCGTGTAATAAACAGCTCAGGGAAAAAAACAGGTCAATAGACAAGCTGTGGTACGATCAGCAGTATTTATTATAACATGCCGCATGTGGGCGGTGCTGATGAACCGTGAGGTTATTCATGGCCCGTGAATGTTTTTTCGGCGGATTGATTGAGTGGCTATCAGTAAGCACTATGCACTCGTGTTAAAAGGGGAAAATTTTGAACTACAGAAGACATACATAAAGTAAAATTCCCTATTTTGTATCTCCCTGGAAATATGCATTTAGCTCTTATTATTGATCCACATATAGGAACAGAATGTTTCAATAAGGAAACAGAGTAAAACGTTTAAATATAATCAAATGGAGGAAAACTGCCAGAAAAACTACTGAACACTTTCGCACTTTTCCGTGTTTTAACCAAAACAGCTTTTTCTATTTTCTCAAACTTCCTGTTTACCTTTTCTTATTCACGAAATGCTTAGAGTTAAAGTATTTCCTTTTCTGATCTCGATTAATAGGCAACAAAATTTATTATTACGGCTGCTTTTCTGGGAAAATTGAAATTTTGTGGTGCAAAAACCACAAATTTCCTTACTTCAAGACGGTGAAATAATTAGAATTTCATGAAACTGTCGTTGGTGTAACGTTCGGTATCTTAGACGCACATAACTAATTCTACTTACTTGATGCAAAGAATTTGAATTCATAAAAGCGGGAAGGCTGAATGATTATTAATATTGTTATTATTCACCGTGTAGCAGTTAGCCCATTTCCGGCTAGGGTGACATGCTGGCATGGGATTTTAAACCTGGCCAAACAGTAACGTAAAAATAAGCACAGACAGAAACCAGAGCGACTGACAATTTTAAAGCATGCTTAAAAGCACCAATTGTACGAGCATCGCACGTATCAGACAAATTCGATTCAACAAAAATTTCTACAATTTATTAACCCCGGAAAACCGGATACTAGAAGGGATGGACTAAAGTTTTAAAAATTGGAAGTCTGGGACAAAAAATCCAATTAATAGAAAAATATTTTTTTTCAAAATTTTAGCGACCCTAGGGTCAAGCAGGAGATGACCGTGTCGGACTGACACGCATGGTAACCATGTTGCACCGACATTTTATATATTGCCGTTTATAACATCTGGTAGAAACATCGCACCGAATATTCCACTATCTGAAACGATAAGTCTAAACTAGTATTGAACACAGAAGCATTCCGATGGTAATCAAGATGACCAGTGTTCAGGGAAAATTTAAAAACGAAACAACCCTAATATGCACCATTACGAAAGTGCTACTTCGATATATCGCAACACAAACCCACATGTTTGCGAATCTCGTCGTTCATCACCTGTTCTTTTGAACTAACGATATGCTCCGGCGCCACGAGTTGTTTGGGGAGGTCTGTAAATCTCCTCGGGAGATCTCAACATTTTGGATTACGCCTTGGATTAATCTAGCGTTGTGGACTGAATGCGGCGCGACTGGATTCGAGCATGGACGCGCTCAGGTCCAACTTTGCTGATGCCCCCGTGAAGTGTCGCAGGTCAATTGGTGGTGGTGCATGTCGCTGTTGGGACCGCTCCATTACGTCCCTTACGCCGTTGGTTTGGGATGGTTTCGGATTACCTCACCCATTCACTGTGAACATGATCGCCGATTGATTTACGCGCAGTGGCCGCGGATTCTGTAAAGTCTACTCACGTACCACGACCGAAGGCGGAGTAATCTGGACCTGTCTACGGGCAAGTATGACAGGCTTTCTCTCCAGGTCCAGGGTTATATTTCCTCCTGGGCCGGTCCTGTAGCGCCAGGCGAGTCGGCTCGAGGAGACTTGGCATCGGCTAATTGATTAGATGCCTCCAAAAATGCATCGTTCTGATATTGTTCACACTACTTCTACTTGTGCCAGGTCAGGGGGCAGGATTTGTCAGTCCCGCTTCTCCTCTGATTCCACGGTTCTCGTAAAGTCAGTCGATGATAGCTTCTGGTTTGAGTCGCTACGCTTGGGCAGGGTGTAAAAGGCGGAAGTGGCACCTGCCACTGGCAGTTGCCACCGGCAGTGGCATGTGGCATTTCGCGACTGGCAAGCGTTAAAACATGGCAATTTTTCAAAATGCAGAAATAACTTAAATTTGCCTGCCACCAAGAAAAGTGAAAGTTAAAACGGAATCGACTTCTATGCGTAGTTTTAAATTTCATAAAACGCCATTACACTAAAGATATAATTATGTGAAAGAAACAGTTCATCACATTTCTGTTAAATAATCTTTTTCTACTCTGCGAACAGCCAACGCCCTACACTCGCCTACCAATGCAATGAGCGCTAAATATTTATGTAGCACAAAAGTTTCTTAAAATTTCGTAGGTTTCTTGCGTTATTCTTAGGTTATCTTAGGTTCTCAGATTTTTTAGTTATTCTTAAGTTTCTTAGGTTATTCTTAGGTCTTTTAGTTTTCTTAGGTCATTCTTAGGCTTCTTAGGTTTTTTAGGTTATTCTTACGTTTCTTAGTTTTCTTAGCTTGGGTTATTTTTCTTATTGCCACGATTTTTGAAATCTTAAGAAAATTTAAATAACGCAAGTGACCTTAGTCACATTGGTGTCAGGGCGGGCTTATGATTCAGCCCTTCTCTCATTGGTTGGTTTTGGGTTTTTCCTGTCTGGGCATTTTCATGCGTTTTGATGAGCTCTGTAAGGCAGCTGCGCTGCCTACAGAGACCAGTTGGTTCTTGGCTTGCGCGCAAAGCGCGGTGTGTTCAGATTTCGGCATTAAAGCCTACATCCGGGTTTGTTTTGTTCCTCCGTCGTTGGACGATGCGCGCTTAGCCAGCGCCATCTGATATTGGCATAACCTAGAATTACAATACAACCGAAGAACCTAAGAAGTTTATTGTAAACCTAGGAAACCTACGAATGACCTAACAACTTAAGGATAACCTAACAACCTAAGAAACTTAACAACATTAGAAACACAATGTAAACCGAAGAAACCTGAGAACCTGTTTTATTTATGGTCAGTTTTAGTGGTTCGAGTGTTGCGTTCAGAGCCAGACTTTGAGGGCCAGAGTTTGAGTTGTCAGAATCAGAGCTTGAGCGCGGGCCGTTTGTTTCTGTTTCGCCTCTCGACTTTTCGTACAACGACATATCAATGAATAACCCAACCGGCAGACCGACAGAATACTGACCGACAATTGGCGTTTCCACAATTTTGTTGCCCGATGTGTTCGAAAAACTGTTTTGTCGAACTACAGTTTGCTTTTCCGTTTGAGAAAACCAAATAAACAAAAAAACCAAGAAGCAGACCGTTTAAAGTTAAAAAGTACAGAAAACTGACCGACCGTGCTCCAGAGTACATGCACGGAAAATCAAACACACAAAAAAACATAAAACTTAATAAAACATAAAAAAATACAAAAACACGTTACAAAACCTAAGAAAACATAAAAATGTAAGAAATTCAAAATTTTAAGACATGTGTGTGCTACCCACAAATATATTTTGCGGCATTGTAGCGCACGTTGCGTTGGTAGGCGCGATACAGGTAGTAAGCTGGCCGCTGAGTGTAGAAAGATCAATAATATTATTATATAGAAATTAATTTTGTTTTATAAATGTTTTTTATGGAAGATTGATTTCTAGTTATTTCTGCATTTTCGAAAATTGCCATGTTTTACCGCTTGCCAGTCGCAAAATGGCACATGCCATTGCCGGTGGCAACTGCCAGTGGCAGGTGCCACTGCCACCTTTTACACCCTGCCCTACGCTTGTCGTTGCAGAGACGGTTAGGCCCGCTGTGTCGCTCCGTGCGTAGCTTTACCCTTTTGGCTCTGCCTGCTGATCTTTCTGGCGCTTTTCTTATGGACTAAACAAGCTCCACTGGAACTATTCATGGCTGGTGCATGGCGTCAGTCGAGTCACCATTGCCAAAGTGTTCTGTACTATGTACTTGGCCCATGTTATGGGGCTACTGGGATTGGGTTCACGAGATACTTTCTCAAACTCGCTACTTCTAGTGGGTGAAGAGATGGTGCTAGTTTGCTGTACTGGATCTGCGGAACTCAGGTAGTGTGCTAGTCTATCTGTGACCTTATGTTACAGTACTGACTAGTGTGGCGTTACGCTAGGTGGTCTTGCGATTAGATGCCTGCGTCAGGAGCGTGACAGCCCAAGCGGTCGCGGGACATTTCGCCACATGTTTTTCGTCGCAGCGGCTAATTTGTTTTGGGACAGCTCGTTTTTCAGCCGTTTTGTTGTGTGCCATTCGGTCGCCCGACTTTTGGGGAGTCGAAAACTTGTCGACTGGCTTATGGCAACGAACAGCCATATGACTATTTGCCAAAAAAACGAGTTGCCCTTAGACGAAATGTCCGTA